CAGCCTTTCTGCTCCTATGATGCTGCTTGGCCTGCTGTGTTCATCCAGCCCTGCACCTTGTTGTCTCTAAGAGTCTCATATGTCTTTTCTATCGTCAATGCTCTCATCCATCTATCAAAGTTGTTCTGTTCAATTCTTTCAAACTCGATATAAGTTGGACCAGGTTCCTTTCTTACATTTCTGAACCATTGTCTATACGTTTCTGGTACCAATTGTAGGCACTCAAAACAGTCTGTTTTACTTCTTCATATTCTTTAGACACCTCCTCAGACAATGCTACAAACATCTCACTTGCCCTGCCTACCAATTTGGTCTGAATTAACATTACCCGCATAGTCTCTGGCCAGTTCATCTGTTTAGCCAAATTCTCGAAGGAAATGAAAAAGGCTAACCCTAACCCTAACCCTACATCTTTTTCATCGAATTTTGGTAATGTTTAAATATATTTGTATGTATCCCTACCAGGCCTTTGGCTATGATGGGTTTGCTCATCATCTCCATCCTCCTCACTAAGCCCACCTTCTACCTTCACCTCCATCCTTTTACGTCGACTTTCCTGTGTATTGCCAACTTCTGCAGTCAAATTCTCTCTCTCTCTTTTCCCTTTTCTTCTGTTCGGGCCTTTCTATCCTTTTCTTTTTCCGCTGCTTTTAACCGTAATTCGAACTGTTTCAGTTCCCTTTCTTTTTCTTCAGCTCGGATTCTTCTTTCCCTTTCTTTGTTCTCTAACTCCAGCCTTTCAAATTCACTTTCTAACTCCATTTGTCTCATTTGCAATTTAGTTTTTTTGTAACTCCACTGCACTTGATTGTTTCTTTGATATACCTAAATGCTTGGCTAGTTCCGTTACGATTTCAGCTTTCTTATTATCCCTAGTTAAACCTAATTTTAGCCTGTTTGCTAATTCTAAAAGTGTCACCTTTTTCTGTCTTTCTAAACTTTCTTGGCAAAGTTGGGAAGCATCTTTGATCTCCAGAACCTCTTTAGCAACGTTAAGAGCCATTTCTCCATTTTTCATTTAACCAACAACAAGCAACCAAAATTAAACACATTTTCCAATTCTCACTTAAGTTTTATTTAACGATCTAGGACACTAGTCCCCAAGTCTGTTTAAATCTGCTTTCATACCCTAAATCTGTTCAAATCTGTCCAAATCTGTTCAGAGCCTGGACAAGCCCCCTATCTGTTATAAAGTGGAGGTTGACTCCCACCCTCCTCTGAGAACCAAAACTGAAACACCTAAGAGGAGCACCTCACCCTATAATCTGTAAAAGGAGTGTGAAAAATGTTGTAACCTACTTTTCAGAAACTTCTAGTGGTTAAACAAAGTAAATCTCTGACACTAACTTTAAAATCAACAAGTAAAAATTTATTTATCTAACTCTAACAGTCAACATAATACCAAACAGTCAATGTGGTTTTGTCAAGGACAGGTCATGCTTGACAAACTTAATGAGTTCTTTGATGAGGTGACACAGGCAGTGGATGAGGGTAGTGCTGTGGATGTTGTACATTTAGTCCTTTGGTAAGCATTTGATGCAATATTAAATGGCAGTTTGGTTTAGGATTGATAAGTCCTTGGCAGTTTTGGTTGGAAGTTGGTTAAAAGACATGAAACAGAGAGTAGGTATAGATAGGTATTTTTCAGACTGGAAATGAGTTGTAAGTGATATTCCTTAGGGATTGGGGTTAGGGCCCTTGCTTTTTCTAATTTATATAAACAATTTGGGGATGATACTAAGTTAGCATGAATATTGAATTGTGATGATGACACTGAGCAACTTCAGAGGGACATTGACTGGTTGGTCAAATGGGCAGACACTTGGGAGATGAATTTCAATGCAGAGACCAGCGAGGTAAGGCATTTTAGTAGAAGAAACACAGAGAGATAATACAGGCTCAATGGGACAACTTTGAGGGGAATATAGGAGCAGAGGGACCTCGGGGTTCAAGTACATAATTTTCTGAAGGTGGCCAGGCAAACTGAAACAGTTGCGAAGAAGGTTTATAGGATCCTAAGGCTTATAAATAGAGGCATAGACTATAAAGCAAGGTAGCGATGTCGCATCTTACAAATCATTGGTCATGATGTAGAGGTACCAGTGTTGAACTAGGTTGGACAAGGTCAGAAGTCACACAACACCAGGTTATAGTCCATCAGGTTTATTTGAATTCACAAGCTTTTGGAGCATTGCCACTTCATCAGGTGAAGTGAGAGAGGAGCACAGAGGCACAGAATTTATAGGTAGAGAGATCAATCGGCAGTGAAATCGAAAGATCATCCCAAGTGGAGTATCGACAGGTCGAAAAATAGGTCTCTGCAGGTGACACTTTGCTCACACTGTCTGACACTCTTGATCACCTGCAGAGGCCTATTATTTGGCATGTCAACACTCTGTATGATCTTTTGCTCTCTCTGCCCATTGATCTCTCTGCCTATAAATTCTGTGCCTGTCTGTTTTTTTCTCACTTCACCTGAAGAACGGGCAGTAACTCCGAAAGCTTGTGATTTCAAATAAACCTGTTGGACTATAACCTGGTGTCATCTGAAATCATTGGTCAGGCCACGTTTGGAGTATTGTGTTTAGCTCTGGACACCTTATTTACGGACGGGTATTAATACCATGGAGAGTGCAAAGGAGATTTACTGGAATGATGCAAAGGATTTTAGATAAAAGGGAAGATTAGATATATTGAGTTTATTCTCCTTGAAGCAGAGAAGGTTAAGAGGTGACCTTATTGAGGTGATCTAAATTATGAAGAATTTTGACAAGGTAAAGAGAATATTCTATTTTACAATTTCAAGATTGTCAGCAAGCAGGCTAGGAGCGAGTTGAGAATTTTTTTTTTACTCAGACTTGTTAAGATTTGAAATGTGCTGCCTGTGGCAGTGGTCAGAGAACTGGATGTATATTTGAAAATGATGAAAGGGCTGGAGAATGGGACTAGCTTGGTAGCTCTTTCAGGAGCTGGTACAGACACAGTCGGTGGAATGGCCTCCTTCTCTATGTAAAATTCGATGAAATATCCTGATTTGGATGCTGGATATTTTCAGTGTTTGTCAGACGAGTATCCTCAACTGTAGAGAAGGACAATGGAGGTATAGAAATCAAAGAGAGGATCAATGATGTAATAGCAGTCAGAGAGAGGAGGTAATAGCAATTTTAGTGGGCTTGAAAGTGGATAAATTCCAACCCAAGATGAAATGTATCCCAATCTGCTGTGAATGGCAAGGGAAGAAATTACCGGGCTTCTTATATTAGTTTTCAAATACTTTCTGGCCACATGAAGAGTGCCAGAGGACTAACGTGGTATCATTACTCAAGAAGGGTGGTAGAGATAACCAAGGAAACCACAGGCCAATGAATCCAACATCCATGTTAGGCCAACTATAGGAAAGCATTCTGAGGGACAGAATTAATTTACACTTCTAGAGGAAAGGATTGATTCAGGTTGTCAGTATGTCTTTGTCAGAGGGAAATCGTTCCTAACAAATTTGACTGAATTTTTCGAGGAGATGACTTTGTGTAACAGTGAGGGTAGTGTAATTAATGTAGTCTACTTGGACTTTGACAAGGTATCACATGGTAGACTCATTAAGAGGTAACATTCCATAGGATCTAGGGCAATTTGGCAAATTGGATCCAGAGTTGGCTTAGTGGCAGGAATCAGAGGCTGATGGTTGAAGGCTGTTTTTGTGTCTGGAAACCTGTGTCCAGTGGCATACCACATGGTTTCATGCTGAGTCCCTTACTGTTTGTAGTGATCTAGATATGAGTACAGAAGGTTTCATCAGTAAATATGCAGATGACACGAATATTGGTGATGTGGTAAATAGAAAGAAGGAAAGCATTAGATTGTAGGATGATATAAACTGGTTGGTCAGGTGGGATAATGAGTGGCAAATGGTATTTAGTCCTGAAAAATGTGAAGTAATGCATTTTGGAGGACTTAAAAAGGCAAGAGAGCATACATTGAATCATAGGGCCTTAGGAAGTACAGAATATGAGAAAGACCCTAATATACATGTCCCTGTTTCCTTACCAGTAACAGGACAGGTGAATAAAGTTGTTAAGAAGGCATACTGACCATTATTAATCAAGGCACTGAATACAAGAGCAGGGACGTTATGATGGAGCTGTCTCTGATGTTAAGTAGCCCACAGCTGGAGTAGCGTGTGCAGTTCTGGTCCCCAGACTATATAGGAAGGATGCAATTGCACTGGAGGGGGTGTAGAGGAGATTCACCAGGATGTTGACTGGAATGGAAAGTCTCAGATATGAAGAGAGACTGGATAGGCAGGGTTTGTCTTCCTTGGAGTAGAGAAGGCTGAGGGGGTGACCTGATTGAGACATTCATACAAAGTTCTGAGCACCACTGATAGAGTAGCTAGGGAGAAACATTGCCCCTGAATAAAGAGGTTAATAACCAGGAAGCCACAATTTTAAGGTAAGGAGCAGGAGGTTGAGAGGGGATTTGAGGAAAATAAATTTCACCCAGAGGATGGTGAGTATCTGAAGGGCACCTCCTAAAAGATAAAGGCCAGAACCCACAACACATTAAAGAAGTGTTTAGATGAGCACTTGAAACACCGTGGCATACAAGGCTACAGACCAAGTGGTGGAAACTGGGATAAGAACAGATGGATGTTTGATGACCAGCACTGACACGATATGACAAAGGGCATCTTTTCATTTATGGGAAAACTCTATGATTCTATGACATTGTGACCCTGTGACAACTATGTTGTAGTATTCAGCTAGGGTCACTCTCTGATGATTGTACAGGACACTCTCTGCTGATTTCTTTGTTGGCCTATTTCTGGGGGTACTGTGGAATACACAATAAGTTGGTGTAAATCATTAAACTCAGGAGCATAACGTGAGAGTAAAAAACTTGCAACGTCTGACTGTCTTTGATCCAGATTCAGAACAGTTTATCCAACAGTCTGTGTTAATTCCTGGAGGAATAATGAAAGCACATCAGCTTAACTCACTCACCTTCATTCTCTGCCCTGAAAACAAAGATTCGGTGGCTTGTGACTACTTCAAATTTATTTTCCTTTGCTGCTCTTGCCATCTGTATAACTGCTAAAGGAATTACTCCTTTAGAGTATGGATCCTAAAAGAAAATCAGTGCCAGTGATCAGCAATAAAAAAACAATTAAACAGTCAGACTTCAGTAAACAGACTGAAACTTATGTTTGTTTTTGGCTAAGTACAAGTTGTGTTGAGTTTTTGGTAAGTTTCTTGCCACAAGGCTGAATATGTTTCCTTGCCCTCTGTTATCAAACTTACCTCATTAACTACCTACTCCATTCCTACAGCTTCACTCATACCAAGTTCTGGCCCCATCCTATTGTGCACCATTCATGGAACCGCTCACTGGATATCCTAGAATATCCCTTGTGCACTATGCTCCATTGAGCACTGACATCCCAAAGCTACCCTGCCCAATGACAGGCAGAATCTGGAAAAGGGAAGATGGTGCCATGATTCTCCAACAGCAAGTTGGAGGTCTTAGTGGAGGGAGTAGTGCAAAGGAGGGGATTCCTGCTCCTGGAGGAGCATCACAGGAGGCCATGCCACCAGACCATGACAGCCTGGTCTTATGTCACTACTTGTCAGAATGTAGAGGAATGCCAGCTATGCTCTGTCGGGCTAAGTACCACATTCTTCTCTCTGCCACTTCACACATAAACTGTTTCTGCTACTGCACTCGTCTCCCACCAAGACTCACGCACCACCAGCAAAACATGACCTCACTCGCTTATGAGGAAGAAACATCCCAGGCCCCTGGCCCTTGGGTGACTGCTGGAGATGAGGCATCTGCTTACCCCAGGAAGGAAAGGGCCCTGTGCTATCACAGAGATAGACAGTCATCTGAGATGCAATGATCCTAACTGCCCAATACCTGCAGCAGTTCAGTGAATCCTATGACCATCTGTCTGCCCCCCTGGACAGGTTTGCAGTGCCATGGAGTATCAGACCTTGCTCCTCAGGGTCTGCCGGAGTGGCACACATACCTGTACTGCATTGCCCCAGCCACTGGTCCTCAGGACTGAGCTCACAGCAAGAAGGAAAACAGAGAACCTTGATCCCAGATGCCTCCAATGCAAATGCCTCTTCTTCATAAGGAAACATGGTAGTGCCAGGAGGCACCCAATCAGAGGATGAACCACGCACCGGCCTCTCCCAAGTCACCCCTGAGGGAAAGCCAAGAGTGGCTGAGCCCTCCACTTGCACCCTGCCTGCCCAACTCCGACCCTTGGAAGTTCAAGCTGATGAAGGTTGATTTGTCTTTGGAAAAAAGACCCTTGGCATGTTTGACCCATTCAGACATTAATGCCTCTGGGGCTGCTCCACAAACCTCCAGGCCCAATAGGCTCCCCCCACCCTAGCTGCAGAACCAGGGACAACACTGAGTCTTAGCTGGAGGGCACCTTGGTGGTACGTGGTGGGAAGAAGGCTTTTCTGTAAATAAAACTTTGTCCATACATGTTCATGATGTTAACTTTGGTGCATGTGTTTGTGAGTCTGAGTAGTACACATATTTTTACATCATCTATCAGCAGTTCATGGGCACACACGAGTCACCAAGGGTGAAAGTCTGTGCTGAGGGCCTACTGCACCGTGTGGAAGCAGATGGCATAATGTGTAAACATGGCATTGGATACTTGTGCCACCTTTGACCCTTATCATTCAACATTGTTAAAATTTAGCTCCCTCAGTGTTCAAAACTGTCACTATCGACTGATTATAATAACATGGAAGTCATGTTGTAGCTATACAAAACTTTGGTTAGGCTACAACTGGAGAACCGTGTATATTTCTGGTCTCCATACTTATAGGAAGGATGTGATTGTACTGGAGAGGGTGCAGAGCAGATTCACCAGGATGTTGCTTGTGATGAAGCAGTTTAACAACGAAGATAGGCTCGATATGATCTGCTAGTTTTCTTTAGATCAGAGAAGGCTGAGGGGGAAATCTGATAGAGGTGTATAAGATAATGAGGGACATAGACAGGGTGAATAGAAAGTAGCTGTTCCAATAAGTTGAAGGGTCAAGGATAAGGAGGCGCAACTTTAAGGTGATAGTCAGAGGTTTAGAGGGGATTTGAGGGAAATAATTTTCTTGCAGACAGTTGTGAGGCTCTGGAATGCACAGCCTGAGAGGGTAGTTGAGGCAGGAAACCTCACAACTTTTAAAAAATACTTGGATAAGCACTTGCAATGTCATAACTTTCAAAGCTATGAGCCAAGTACAGTAAAGTGACACGAGTGTGGGTAGTAGTGTACAGATATAATGGGCTGAAACTGTGCTGTGTTATTCCATGATTGTCCACCAGTGGCTGTGTCGGGTTGCTCCATCACACAAGAGACACACACATTGTATAATGCTGTACCCTGACCGGGAGTAGGCAGCCTGTTTGCCTGTGCACTGAACATGGTCTGTAACCTATTTAGTTCCCTCTCAAAGCCCTATCGGTGGTGTTTTGTGGAGCCCCTCTCTCACAGGGTCAGTCACTCACACCTCCTACTCCAGGGGCACTTGTAGCTATTTTTTTCCTATTGAGCACTTTAAATTTTCAGCACAATGGAGCTGGGTCTCAAATTTGGGATTACCAGTTCAGCTACAATACCACGCAGCCATCACCACCCCAAAATTATCCAGGACAAAGCGACTCCCTTGATAGCCATCCTATTTATCTATTTAAGAATTCAGCCACCCACTGCCAATGTTCAGTAGCAGTGTATACCATCCACAAGGATTGGAGCAATTCACCAAGGCTCCTTCAATAACACCTTTCAAACCTGGAGTACCTACCACCATATAAAACAAGGACAGCAGTTACCTACAAGCCACTCACCATCCTAACTTAGAAATGTGTCACCATTCGTTCAGTATCACTGGGTCAAAATTCTGGAACTCCTTCCCTAATGGCATTGTGAGTCAACCTACAGTACATGGGCTGCAGCGGTTCAAGGATGCAGCTCACCATTATCTTCTCATAGGTAGCTAAGGATGGACAATAAATACTGGCCTAACTGATGATGCCCACATCCCAGGACTGAATAAAATAAATTTCTAAAAGAAAACATGCACTTCCACTGCACTTCAGTTTTGCTGGTCTCCTTGCTGCCACATGTGTTCAAATCTTACCTCGATATAAAGACTAATCACTCCCTCCTCACCTTTGGATTACAATTCCTGAGAATTGAGAATATAGTGCAATCTATTGCTTGGTGGTTCCAGTAGTACCAAACCTGAGCCTTTGGTAGTGGGGTCTTCAGTGGTTTAAGTCTTTCTGTCTGGAATTTCCAAACTAATCCCTGTTTCTTTCTGTTTTTCACTCCATTTTAGGAATCTTCTCTAACCCTAAGACATCACCTCAGCTCTGAACAAATTTTGAACAATCTCTCATTTCCCAAATTAACATGTTTTCTGTTGGTCTTTGATGAATTGTTTTGGATGTTAGTTTCACTGCTCCATTCTTATTGGGATTTTTGGAACATACTCATTGAAGATGGTGAGATGGTGATTCACTGAAGTGATGGACAAAAGGACTGCATTTCCTGCACGTCGATCCATTTTGACATCTCCTTGAAGGGTTAAATACAGCTTAATCACTGAATGATTCAAAATAACATGAATATTCCTTCCAAGCTGAGCCTGGTTTTATCCGCATTTGATGGATCATAACACGTCTGTTTCAATTTAGGTCTTCAACTGAAAGTTGAAGGTACAAAAACAAAGTTGCTGGAAAATCTCAGCAGGTCTGGCAGCATCTGTGAAGGAATAAACAGAGTTAACGTTTCGGGTCCGGTGACCCTTGTTGGTGACAGAGTTCTGAGGAAGATTCACCGGACCTATTTATTCCTTCACAGATGCTGCTAAGCTTTTCCAGCAACTTTGTTTTTGTTCCTGATTTACAGCACCCATAGTTCTTTCGGTTTTGAAAGTTGAAGGTATTCACCAAACACAAATTTCCAGCTGGACGATGCATTCAAAGGGAAACTGTATCTGTGCCATGATTGTAACTCTGATTTCCTGATTCTCTGAACCATTTCCTTTGAGCTCAACTCCCTACGACAAGCTTGACATCAAACAATGTAACTGTTACAAACTCCTGTGTCTGTGGCTCTCTTACCTTCTCATTGTTGAAATACATCAGACATTTCCCATCAAACTTCAAATAGCGTCTTTGGAATACGCAGCTTCTAACCCGAGAAGAGAAAACACAAGTTTGCATTAGGAATATTTCACACACATATGGTATAGTACTTTCAGTGGGAGGTGAGATTGACCTAAGGCCAACAACAGAATAAAGTTCATCCCAAAGAGAAATGCAGTAAAGTCTGAAACTAAAACAAAAAAATGCTGGAAATACCCAGCAATTCTGGATAGAGGAACAAAGTTAATGTTTCAGATTTTGATGAAAGGCCCCTGATCTGAAATGTTAGCTCTTTCTTTCTGCAAAGATGCTGTCAGACCTTCTGGAAAATTCCAGCATTTTCTATTTTGCATAGAAGTTGTCTCTTGAACAATAAGCTTCACTTATTATGTTGATTCAGGCTGGGTTAGTCTGATTCAGTAGGCAAATCTACCTTCTATGTCTCATCAAAATGAACCTTTGTAACGGTGAGTGTGTGAAATCACACTATTTAAATAGGGTAACTGTCTCAAGCCAAAACCTGTGTTCATCCAAACTCTGTACTAAACATCCAACCATAATCACTAAACAGTAACTAAAAGGCAGACATTCTTTTTCAGTAAAGTGTCATCCCATTGTAACAAATCAATCCTTCACTATTGTTTTCAAAAAGATCAGAGATTAAAACAGGGAATATTCTCATCTGCAACACACCATTAACCAAATGAACAATCTTAGCTTTCTGTTTGCTCCTCCAAGTTTCAAAAAAGCTTGGTATTGCCAGGGAGATATTGGAGGTTGACAAGCAAAGTCTAAAGGAATTCATTCATTATTCTTACCCTTGTGGTGAGAGTTTCTCTAACCAATCACATTTCATGCTTCTCCCTTGCTCAGGTACAGCATGGAAGCTTGCGTAGGGTGATATTGTTTGATCATCCTCAGACTCTTCAGTGAAATACAGTGAGGGCTCAGTGGTGCTGGGGTTGTTTGTTGGAATCTCTCCTATTGTAGAGTAAGCCATCATGTTGTCTCCTTCGATCTGTAATGATTTCTGGGCACAATCCATTTCACATTGCCTGTGGAAATACATCAACAGATAGAGGATGCAAAATCTGGAGAAAAAATATTTTCAGCAAAACTGAACAGATATGCTTCAACTAAAAAAGACTATGAGAGATGGAACAACAGAGCTACAATGCATGTTTGTAAGTCAGCAATGTGTGGTGAATAAAGTCTGTGAGCAGCCAGCACAAGTAAGCCTAGGAAAAAGGCATTGGGCACTGATCACCAAGCGCTATCCACTGGATGCAAGCCACTGGGCATTAGGCACCAGGTACTGAGTACCAGCTACTGAGAGGCAACACAATCTATCTGGAGTAATGATGTTCCATTAGCTGTTACTCTCTATTATTGTACTGTAGGTTCCAGGAAATAAAGAGTAAAGCTCATGGCTGGATTTATAATTCGTGGGGGTGGGCTAACAGTGGAGGTGGCTCATAAAACGCCCAGTGTCTGTCTTCCCATCCACACTGAGTCCCATCCGTCCCATTGAAGTCCTTTGAACCTGCTCCACCATTCAAAACGATCATACCTGATTGATGTTAATCTCAACTCTACATTCCTGCATATCCCAATATGTTTTCATCTTCCATGTTAATCAAGAATCTATCAAACTTTGCTTTAAAAATATTTGAAGATTCTGCACCCACTGCCATAGAGTCATATAGTCATACAGTACAGAAACAGACCAGTCCAAGCTGAACATAATCCCAAACGAAATTAGTCCCACCCCCCCCAGCCCCCCCCCCCCCCCCCCCCCCCGGCCCGCAACCCCCCCAATCTGTCCTGTGCATGTACTCATCTAAGTGTCTTTTAAATGTTGTAACTATGCCCACATCCACCACTTCCTCAGGAAGTTCATTCCACACGTGACTACCCTGCCTTTTGAGGAAGAGAATTCAAAAGGCTAATAACTCTCTGAGAGAAAAGAAATTCCACATCACTTTTTTTAAATGGGCGACCTCTTATTTTTAAACTTTGACCCTGAGTTTGAGTTTGTCCCACAAGAGAAAATATCATTTCCACAACCACCTGATTAAGTTCCCTCTTGTCTTGTATGTCTCAATTAAGTCACCTCTGACTCTTCTAAACTCCACAGGATACAGGCCTAGCCTGCCTAGCTTTTCTTCACAAGGCAATCCACTCATTTGAGGTATTAGTCATGTAAACTTTCTCTGAACTGTTTCCAACACATTAACATTCTTCCATAAGTTCGGTGACCAGTACTGTACACAGTACTCCAGATGAGGTCTCATCAATGCCCTGTATAATTGAAGCATAACCTTCCTACTCTTACATTCAATTTTCCTCACAATAAAACAGAATAGTCTATGAGCTTCAAAAAGAAAAGTTGCTTGAAAAGCTCAGCAGGTCTGACAGCATCTGTAAAGAAAAATCAGAGTTAACGTTTCAGGTCCAATGATCCTTCCTCGGTATTTCTCAAGACCCGAAACGTTAACTCTGATTTTTCTTCACATATGCTGCCAGCCCTACTAAGCTTTTCTGTTGACATCTGTTTTTGTTCCCGATTTACAGCATCCGCAATTCTTTTGGTTTTTATTCTCTGAGCTTTCCTGATCACTCTTTGCACCTGCACATTAACCTTCTGTGATTCATGCACCAGGACACGCAGATCTCACTGCATTACCAGAGCTCTGCAACATCTCACCCTTCAGAGAATGCACTTCTCTTTTATTCTTTCTGGCAAAACAGACAATTTCACACTTCACCCATATCATGCTACATTTGCCACATCTTTGCCCACTCACTTAATCTACATCTATCCCATTGTATGCTTCTTACGGCCTCTTCCCAACTCACTTTCCTGCCTATCATTGTGATGTCAGCAAATTTAGCTCCCATCCTTTGATTCCTTCATCCAAACCATTTATAGAAATTGTAAAGAATTAAGGCCTCAGCACTGACTCCTGTAGCACACCATTCATGACATCCTGCCAGCCTGAAATAGACTCATTTCTTTCAAGTTTCTGCTTCTTGTTAGCCAGCCAATCTTCTGTCCATGCCAGTTTGTTACTCCCTACATCATGAGCTTTTATTTTTTGCAGAAGTCTTTGATGTGGCAACTTATTAAATGGCTTCTGGAAATCCAAGTAAAATACATCCAATGGCTCTCTGTTATCTACAGTACAAGTTACTTCTTTAAAGAACTCCAATAAATTTGTTAAACATGCTCTTCGTTTGGCAAAACCATGTTGGCCCTGCCTGATTACCTTGAACTTATCCAAATGCCATGTCCCAATATCTTTAATAATAGCTTCTAACATTTTTTCCAATACCAGATGCAAAGCTCATTGGTCTGTAGTTTCCTGCTTTCTGCCTCCGTCCCTTTTGAATAAAAGCATTATATTTGCTATTTTCCAATCTAAAGGAATCTTCCCTGAACCTAATGAGTTTTGGAAAATTAAAAACAACTCATCAATTATTTTACTGGCTATTACTTTGAAGACCAGAGGATGAAATTAATCAGAAGTAGGGACTTGCCAACCTCCAGTTGCAAAAATTTATTCCGTACAAGTTCCCTGTTAATTGTAATTTTCTTCAGGTCCCCCCCCCACCCATCTCTTTCAATTCCTGATTTACAGCTATTTCTGGAACGTTAGATGCAAAATATCTGATAAATTTATCTGCCATCTTTTTATCCTCCATTACTAATTCCCAGACTTACTTTCTTTTGGACCAACACTTAGTTTGCTAACTCTTTTCTTTTTAAAATATCTTTTTGCTAACTTTGTCTTGTACTCTAATTTTTCTCCCCTCACAAATCTTTTCGTAATTCTTTATTGTTCTTCATACTCTGTTCAATCTTTTGACTTGCCACTTATCTTTGAAGACATGTGAACTAAGTTAATTGGTTGCTAATAGCTGCCAATTTGACTATCTATTATGTTACTTCCAGGTCAAAGGTAAATAGAAGAACTATTTTACAGATGAATAACTAAAACACTGGTTGGAAATTCAAAACAAAAACAACCTACATATAACGAAATAAATAAAATAGAGATGCAGGGCCAGGCAATGTGTTATAACTGATGATGTGGGAGCTGGTGGACCTCATTGTGGTTTGTAGTGAGCATGTCTGTAGCAAGTGTTGGTTGCTTGAGGAATGCTGGCTCAGAGTTGCTGAGCTGGAGTCAATTCTTTGAACTCTGTAACACATTAAGGAGGGGGCGAGTGATACTTACCTGGCTGGGGACATACTATGATCCAGAAAGAGGTTCTCTCAGGATGAGTCTGAGCTGAGAATCTCCATCACCAGAAGAACTTGAGGTCATCACTGGATTGTGATTGCAAGTAGAACTTGGAGGACTGTCAGTTGAGCTGAGCTGCAATTGATGGATCTTTATAGTGGCTTCAGCCCAACACCAATTCAGTGATGAGCCAACCAGAGCTATGGCTTCTACAAGTGCGCGTGTCCCAGGCCAGGGAGCAGTCAAGGTGATTGTGAAGAAGCTGTTTTGAAGCTCACCAAATGGGCTCACAAAGTTTCCCTCAATTCTATGTGCTTTAACATTCTCAATGAATCTCCCATGTGGGACTTCGCTAAACGTCTTGCTCAAATCCATATAAACTACATCAACTGAACTTCCCTCATCCACACACTTGTATGCTCAGGGTCTATGCACAGCTTTTTGCAGCCACACACAAAGGTGACCATCAAGATGAGGGTGGCATTGGGTACATTCTTCCCCCCCATCCAAAATTTTGTACATTCTAACAAATTTTTTAGGCATGACCTCCCTCTGGCAAAGCCATGCTGACTATCCCTAATTAACCCACGCACTTCCAAACGGATATTAATTTGCTCCTTCAGAATTTTCTCCAATAGCTTCTCAACCACTGATGTGAGACTCAGTGGTATGTCATTTCCTGGTTCATCTCTACCACCCCTCTTAAAAAGTGGAACCACATTAGCCATTGTCCAGTCCTCTGGCACGTCTCCTGTGGCCAGCGAGGAATTAAAAAATTGTATCAGAGTGTCTGCAATTTCCAGCCTTGCCTCACAGCAGCCTGTGATGCTGTTTTCTGCTCGGATGTGCCCTCAGTGCACAGACCCATGAGCATCTGTGACCAGTTTCTATTGGCCTCGGGAGCCAAGGTAAATCAAGGCAAAAGTGAGTCCATGCTCTTTGGGAAATTGGCTGACCCGATCCTTTATCCACTTTACCTTTAGGGCAGATTACCTGAAGGTGCTGGGAATATGGTTCGGAGGGGCCAGGAAATGTGCAAGAACTAAGAAGGACTGTATTGCTGAGGTGAGGCAGAAACTGGGTCTGTGGAAGCACAGTTCCCCTTCCTTTATGGGTAAAAACCTGGTCATCAGGTGTGAGGCACTCTTGGTGCTGTTGTGGTGCAGGTCTGGCCCATTCCCAGAACCCGTGCTGTTGCAGTTACCCGAGCCATCTTCATCTGAAGGTCTAAGATGGAACATGTCCAGAGACACCATGTAAAAGACTCTGGATGGGGGGGAAGAAGGTTCCCGATGCCACCCTCATCTTGATGGTCACCTTTGTGTGTGGCTGCAAAAAGCTGTGCGTAGACCCTCAGCATACAAACACCACATGTCACTATGTACTGAAGTTCTACCTGTCCCTGAGCAAACTGCCAAGGTCATTTTGCAGAATGGCTCATTACCAGAACATTCCAACATACTCAAAGATATCACTTGGCTGATGGTGAGAAGGACACTACATGTGAGATCAATCTTGTACGCCTGGTCTTCTGCCCTTGAAGCAAAAGCATTGAGGCTGTCACACATCTCCTTCTGGAATGTTCCTTTGCAAAGGAAGTCTGGAGAAAGATGCAGTGGTTTTGGTGAGGTTCGTCCCAATCAGCTCTGTGATATGGAACTCTGTGCTCTACGATCTCAGGACACACACCAAGACAAACATCAACTACGTCTGGAGGATCATCAACTCAGTGAAAGATGCTCTTTAGTTTAGTTGAAACTTGTTGGTCTTCCAGAGCAAGGAGTTGACTATGACCGTATGTTGCAGAC